CGGCTCAGGAGCTTAGCTCCAAACCCATGAGGGTACGCTTCCAATCGCGTGTGCCCCAAAATGGCGGAGTTATTCACCTGAACCACGATGCATAGTTTAGTCAATTAGCGTAGAAGACAGTGGCCCGGGTGGCAGTCGGGGTGTCCCGGCCTACCACTTGTCACGTAGAGTAACGTACACGGAGAAAATAATTACTCCCCCCGGGAATCACGATCCCCTATTTGGGAATCAACTGACACCCATAGTGTTATCCGGTTCTGAAAAACAGTGTCCTTACACCGGTTTTTTAGTGTAAATTGATCTCGGTCAGAATCACATACCCAAAGGTCATTTGACTCCCAAAATTTTGACTCCCATTTTAGGTGTCGTGTCAAAAGATCCTGCACGGTGTCAGTGTAAACTTACACATCTAAGCGTTTTTGACGCTATCATGAGGAGTTTTATATCCTATAGGTGTCATTTCACAGTAAAAGCAATGCATTTTAGGCAAGCTGAATTTACCTTTCGTGAAGTTTCCTTGCCTCCATTTTTGGTAAAAACTTCTCAGTTCATGATCTCATGTAATAGGGACACACAAACCAATTGGTGCACACATATACACAGACACACACAGACATACAAACACATCATTTACCTTGACCTAACTTGAACTGAAATGACCACAGCCAGCAAAAACCTAGTCGGATAGTGCGACAAACAGCTGTTCTAGCTGGCTTGGCACCAATACTGCAGCGTCATCGGTATATGATGGGCACCGCACTTGATTATCCAACGGTGACCTCAAACAGCAACATTTTTTAGTTTGACCTGACCTGGAATGTCAACGACTGACACAATTAGGTAAAACTGGAAACCATTGGACTTGTCTTTTCCCAAAGAATATGTTGGTCCTTACCGCGAAGCTTTACCTCCAGCAGGAATGAAATGGTGCGGGGTGGGGGTGGCAACCTATATGCGTAATGCTAGGATGGAAAAATGGCATGTACTGGCGAGGGTTAAAAAAACTGACCCCTTCCACTCTAAGTACCCTGTGTTAGCAGTCTAGTGTTAACAGTGTCTTATTTGTTACGTTATCATTGTGAGGCACGATGCTGTACTCATTATTTGAACAATCAGCAAATCGTTCTTGCATAGAAAACATGCTGAACGACGTAACTAGATTTTGGTACTCCATTCGCCATGATGAAAATGGCGTGACATTACAAAAATGTCTCTTAGCTTGTATTGCGACAGTGAATATGATCCAGTTTTCTTGCGATTCGGTCGCCTATCGACCTTCCTCCCAGCGTGTGACTTCTGTCTGACCTGCTGTGTTCCAGGCTCGCCGCAGGGTGACTGCGACGGAGAAGTCGAAGACGAAGAGCAGCACTGCGATGAGGAGGAGCAGCCATCAGAGGGTCCGCCTCACCCACACCGGCAGAGGTGGCAACAGATCGAACAACAACATCAACAGCGGTGGAAGGAGCTGGAACTACAACATCAGCGGCTCTGGCAGGAGCTGGAGGATCCAGGTCACGAAGAAAGAGTGAGGATATACAAAGAGCATGAAGAGGAGCGTCGGCATCTGGAGCAGAAACACGGTAAGGAGTGGCAGTACCTGGACGAACGTCACTATGAGGAGTGCATTGAGCTTCATCAGCAGCACAGGAAGGACTCTGGATGCATCAACATGCCGACTGAGGGCCAGTTAGGGCGGTTGGATCGCTATCACCGGCGACAGAGGGAAGACCTCCAGCGGATCCTGCGGCAGCAGTGGCAAGAGCTGGAGCTCAGACACCAGAGAGAGTCACGGGAGCTGGAGGAGAGGCACCCGATCACAGGCTCTGAAGAGAAGATGAATCGGCTACTGGAGGAATGCAACAGCAGACGTCATCAGCTGCAGGAGGAGCTGCAGAAGGAGCTGGAGAAGGAGTTGGAGTGGCAGAAAAAGGAGGAGTTGAAGGAGGAGCTAAAAAATGAGCTAAGGGATGAGCTAAGGAAGGAGCTAAGGGAGGAACTGAAGAAAGAGCTAAAGGAGGAGTTAAGAGAGGAGCTGAAAAAGATGCTTCGTGAGGAGCTTCAGCAGCAGCAGTGCCCTGTTGAAGGTGAGTGACAGCCTCCGTTGTCAGATGATTTTTCAGCGCTCATTGCCAGAAAATGATTGCCTCAAGTAAGTAACTCTGAATATGTAATACATCTGCCCTTAGCTCTTCCTGACCAGCCCCGAATTTTGTTGGATCCAACATGAACTTTGTCTGAGCCGCACTGACCTGTGATTGACCCTCCCTGACCTCTGCCTGACCCGGCGTGTTGCAGACCGGCCGCCGAGGGCCGTCGGAGGCGAGGCCAGTGGCGATCAGCGGCCCGGCTCCGACCTCCGTCCCACCCCCCGGACGGAGGCGTGTCCGGCCCGTCCGGCCGGCAAGCGGCGGCACCAGGAGCCGCCGGCAGCGGACGCCGGCCAGCCGCCGGACGCCAAGCGGGCTCGTCCGGACGTGTCTGAGAGCCGGCAGTGACGGGGCCGAGGCGGCGAGCCGATGTGTCGGCCAGCTGAGCGGCGCCATGGACACTGACCGCCCCGTGAGTATAGGCTCTGAAACATACGGTATACGGTAAATGACGTGTTATTAGTTGGTCAGTCACTGAGCGGCGCCATGGACACTGACCGCCCCGTGAGTATAGGCTCTGAAACAAACGGTATGCGGTAAATGACGTGTTATTAGTTGGTCAGTCACTGTGGCGGGTAGAGCCATACTGAATGGCCGGTCTGGACCTGGCTGTTTACTCAGTCGGACCAGCAGTTCGGGTGGGGGAGTGACGTCACACCACTGTCAGACCCGGTGTGGGATAGCGGTAGTGACACGGCGGGTGTGGGAGTGACGTCACACCACTGTCAGACCCGGTGTGGGATAGCGGTAGCGACACGGCGGGTGTGGGAGTGACGTCACACCACTGTCAGACCCGGTGTGGGATAGCGGTAGCGACACGGCGGGTGTGGGAGTGACGTCACACCACTGCCAGACCCGGTGTGGGATAGCGGTAGCGACACGGCGGGTGTGGGAGTGACGTCACACCACTGTCAGACCCGGTGTGGGATAGCGGTAGTGACACGGCGGGTGTGGGAGTGACGTCACACCACTGTCAGACCCGGTGTGGGATAGCGGTAGCGACACGGCGGGTGTGGGAGTGACGTCACACCACTGTCAGACCCGGTGTGGGATAGCGGTAGCGACACGGCGGGTGTGGGAGTGACGTCATACCACTGTCAGACCCGGTGTGGGATAGCGGTAGCGACACGGCGGGTGTGGGAGTGACGTCACACCACTGTCAGACCCGGTGTGGGATAGCAGTAGCGACTCGGCGGGTGTGGGAGTGACGTCACACCACTGTCAGACCCGGTGTGGGATAGCGGTAGCGACACGGCGGGTGTGGGAGTGACGTCACACCACTGTCAGACCCGGTGTGGGATAGCGGTAGCGACACGGCGGGTGTGGGAGTGACGTCACACCACTGTCAGACCCGGTGTGGGATAGCGGTAGCGACACGGCGGGTGTGGGAGTGACGTCACACCACTGTCAGACCCGGTGTGGTATAGCGGTAGCGCCACGGCGGGTGTGGGAGTGACGCCACACCACTGTCAGACCCGGTGTGGGATAGCGGTAGCGACACGGCGGGTGTGGGAGTGACGTCACACCTCTGTCAGACCCGGTGTGGGATAGCGGTAGCGACACGGCGGGTGTGGGAGTGACGTCACACCACTGTCAGACCCGGTGTGGGATAGCGGTAGCGACACGGCGGGTGTGGGAGTGACGTCACACCACTGTCAGACCCGGTGTGGGATAGCGGTAGCGACACGGCGGGTGTGGGAGTGACGTCACACCACTGTCAGACCCGGTGTGGGATAGCGGTAGCGACACGGCGGGTGTGGGAGTGACGTCACACCACTGTCAGACCCGGTGTGGGATAGCGGTAGCGACACGACGGGTGTGGGAGTGACGTCACACCACTGTCAGACCCGGTGTGGGATAGCGGTAGCGACACGGCGGGTGTGGGAGTGACGTCACACCACTGTCAGACCCGGTGTGGGATAGCGGTAGCGACACGGCGGGTGTGGGAGTGACGTCACACCACTGTCAGACCCGGTGTGGGATAGCGGTAGCGACACGGCGGGTGTGGGAGTGACGTCACACCACTGTCAGACCCGGTGTGGGATAGCAGTAGCGACTCGGCGGGTGTGGGAGTGACGTCACACCACTGTCAGACCCGGTGTGGGATAGCGGTAGCGACACGGCGGGTGTGGGAGTGACGTCACACCACTGTCAGACCCGGTGTGGGATAGCGGTAGCGACACGGCGGGTGTGGGAGTGACGTCATACAACTGTCAGGCACGGTGTGGGATAGCAGTAGCGACACGGCGGGTGTGGGAGTGACGTCACACCACTGTCAGACCCGGTGTGGGATAGCGGTAGCGACACGACGGGTGTGGGAGTGACGTCACACCACTGTCAGACCCGGTGTGGGATAGCGGTAGCGACACGGCGGGTGTGGGAGTGACGTCACACCACTGTCAGACCCGGTGTGGGATAGCGGTAGCGACACGGCGGGTGTGGGAGTGACGTCACACCACTGTCAGACCCGGTGTGGGATAGCGGTAGCGACACGGCGGGTGTGGGAGTGACGTCACACCACTGTCAGACCCGGTGTGGGATAGCGGTAGCGACACGGCGGGTGTGGGAGTGACGTCACACCACTGTCAGACCCGGTGTGGGATAGCGGTAGCGACACGGCGGGTGTGGGAGTGACGTCACACCACTGTCAGACCCGGTGTGAGATAGCGGTAGCGACACGGCGGGTGTGGGAGTGACGTCACACCACTGTCAGACCCGGTGTGGGATAGCGGTAGCGACACGGCGGGTGTGGGAGTGACGTCACACCACTGTCAGACCCGGTGTGGGATAGCGGTAGCGACACGGCGGGTGTGGCTGTCAATATCAGGGGACCTAAAACTGGACACTGGTGTTTCAGATCACCACAGACGTCACCATCACCAGCAGTGACAGCACCACCGGCACCACCGGCAGGCGTGAGTACACCAACGGCAGTCGAGTCCAGCTTCATGGCTTCCGAAACCACTATCAAGTGAGCTGCCATTGACTTAGAGTTACCGTAAATGATAATACAGCTACTATAAGACAATGTATGATGTTATTTTTACAATTTTTCTGCTAACTTTAAATATTTGTGATTGTAATTTTGCTTCTTTAGCGCTGTATCTAAGATATTAATTTCAAAGACAACGTTAATAACTAGCGCCTTGTATTTCAGCTCCGCCATCACCACCGTCCCCAGTATGACCATCACCATCACCATCACCATCACCAGCACCACCGGCTCCGGGATCAAACCCGTCACCAGCATGTCCGTAAGTGTTTAATCATAAAACGACAATGAACATGTAAAACTCAAAACCTTTTTTCCAATCGTCCTAATTTTGACCAAATTCCTCTGTTCGTCTTACTGCTTGTTCTTACTGAGCACGCTGATCTAAAAACCTACTGACTGCTTTCAGATCATCTACCATCACCATCACCATCACCACCACCAGCACCACCGGCTCCGAGACCCAGCCCGCCACCAGCCTCCGTGAGTACAGACGTGATATCCGGACAGACTGTTCTCTGTTTCTTGTCTCTAGGAAAAAAAAAACATTTGGCGTTGCTGAATGATGCAGAAACTATAAAAAACTAAAAATGAAAATAAGAATAAAAGCAGTCATTTTTTTTTCATTGTCTTCGTTGGGCACATTTATATTTATTCGGTCTATCAAACTGTCAGTTCCCACTCTTCTTTGATCTTTTCAATAAATAGTCCTTTACTTGGCATGCCAAACAACATGGACGTTTTTTCAGATATATATTTCACGGTCTTGTTATATGTTATCGATACTTTTTGTATTGAATTAACCCTCGCCCTGGCAGGGCATTTTTCATAACACGGCCTGGCAGGGGGGGGGGTCGATGCGACCCCCCCCCCTCGCGATTGGCTCCTATGGCACCTAGAAACACCAAATTTGGTAGGTAGGTGGGCCCCCATGAGTTCTCGCCCCTGTGCAAATTTGGTTGCTCTAGGTCAATATTTAGGGGGGTTTTGGGGGGTATAAATGTAAAAATTTCGCTAAAAACAGGTCAAAAGTTTTTCGCTTATAACTTTTGATCTAATTAAGATAGAGCAAAAAGAAAAGCACCAGTGAACTCAGCACGTCAAGGCGCGTCGAATGATATACTTTTTAGCTTGCTTAAGTGTACTTAAAGTTTTTCTTAAATTTTAAGTAAACTTAACTTAATAAATTAAGTTCTAGTTAACCAAATTGCATCACATCGCATATCATTCGATTCGGCTGATCACCAGGAACACAATGATACCATTTTTAAGCTCTAGCGTCATTATGTGCCAAGTTATTGGCAAAAACGTCATTTGACCTCAGTTGACCTCATTTGACCTGACCCATGGATAAGTACACCGAGCAAAGAAGCACCAAGTGACCTGCTGCTAAGTACTGTGGTTTCAAAGGACAAAAGTGATAGAAAGAAGCGGATATCTCCATTATTTTCCGAATTTAGTATTTTCCCATAGGCTTAACATTACGACGTAATGACCTCTAACTGACCTCAGGTCAGTGACCTCAAAAAACCCGAACTATATGTTATACAACTCGGTGAACTTAGCACATCCTGAAAGTTTGAAGGAAATCAGTCCAAAACTGTGAGTTGGACAGGTGCAAAAAGAAAATTGAAATTTGACCATGACCTTGTACCGGTTTTTCTGACCTGGTGACCTGACCCAAGGTCACCCGGACCTGAAATTTTCAGGTCATATGTAAAAAGGTTGCCCCATAGGCTGTGCCAAATTTGGCGGCGCTGCGCGCCGCCGTTTTTACGCTATCTTCGAAAAACCTTAGGGGGGTCGCATCGACCCCCCCTGCCAGGGCGAGGGTTAACCCGCGCGGGGCTGGGGGGGGGGGGTAAATTTTACCCCCCCCCCCTCGCGAATTTAACTTTCAGTACCTTTTCTTACATCAATTTGACACGTTCCCTGAAAATTTGAGCGTAATCCGTCGGAAAATTTTTGAGAAATTGACGTTTTAGTGACGTCATGTTCGCCATTTTCGCCTCAAAAACGGCAAAAGTTCAAACGCCGCTAACATCTTCATTTTTAAAGGAATCAAGACGTAATAAAAAAGGATATACGTAATTCTACTTTGTCTATCAAATGGCTATCTCGTTTTTTTTTGAAAATTTTGGATTTTGGCACAAATTTTTCCAAAAAACTGACTTTTTTGGGAAAATAGCTATAAAATCCAAAATTTTGAGTGTATCGAAAAAACCGGAACATATGTCAGGGAAGTGGTCTATGTGTACCTACATACCAAGTTTTAGAAGAATCGGTTCAAAAATGTGGGAGTTATTCAAAATTGTATGACGTCACGACACACAAAAATTTTGAAAAATGACTTTTTTGGAAGTTCTAGACCTCGTACGGAAATGAAAATAGCACCATTCGACTCGCCGTGAAAAACTGCATCAGATAGACATCTTTTTAGGCCTTAGCAACCAACTTCAAAATTTGACCTCCCTTGACCTGACCTTGACCTGACCTCGACCTGAAATTCATCCAGAGGTGGTCCATATCACTTATTGAGTGTGCCTATTGAATTCTATGATTAAAATGACCCATAAAACATGTGTCGCACATGCCCTTTTCTATATTTTGTTTTTGGTGACCTGACCTGACCTGACCTGACCTTGACCTTGACCTCTGAATGATATTGTATGCAACGAATATTGTCTTGGTAGCCTAAGAACACGTTTTGGGAGATCAGTCTCAGTCCATGACTCCATTCTTCGGCAACTACGGTGCAAGGCCGAAACTGTAGGAACTTGCAATTTGTACCCTTGACCTGACCTTGACCTTGACCTCAAACTTAAAATTAAGTACATGTTTTTAGTTGTTCGTGATGAGATCTTTCGATTGGCGTTTGAATTTTCCAAATAGGACCATTAGTTTGGGAGATAACAGGGGGGGGGGTAAAATTTACCCCACCCCCAGCCCCGCGCGTTCGGCTAGAGACCCCAGCCCCGCGCGGGTTAACTTGTACGAACATTTTTGTTTATTTCACCGTAGACATTGCTACCGCTCTGTCTGTATAACAAGGTGATCGTTTCGTCTGTCATATGGAATGATTTAATCGTTTATATTGTTTCAGGTCCACCATCACCACCATCACCAGCACCATCACCATCACCAGCACCGCCACCAGCACCACAGGCTCCGGGATCAAGTCCTCCACCAGCCTCTGTGAGTGTGTAAATCATTAAATGGAACCTGAAACGTAAAACCTGTTCTTTCCGCAATGTTACATAGGATTTGTGGTCCATATTTTTTCATAATCAGATCGACAGGAATAATATCATAATGCAACAATAATAACGGATTCCGTCAGGATTTTGTTGACCGTAGGACTGGTTGAGAGGTGAATCCACTGTATTTTATAGGAGTTCTATCGGTTTGCGGTCAATTTGTATTATCTCCCTTTCAGATCATCTACCATCACCACCACCAGCACCACCGGCCTCAGCACCAGGCCCGCCACCAGCTTCCGTGAGTATCTTATCACAAATTGACTATAAAAGCAAATATCTTTCATTTATGTCGTAAATTCGAGACACATTCATAGTTTGTTAACCCGCGCCCCGTTGGGCTCTGCCGAGCAACGCGCCCTGTTGGGGGGGGGGGGGCATTTTGGCCCCGCTAAGATATCGAGAACCACGCAACCTAGCGAGAAGCGGCAAGCGGTGTTGGATAGCCCTAACAGAGAACTACCTTGTGACCCAATTTTATTGATCTAGGTCAAACGGATGACGTCACAGGTCAGGTCAAAGGTCCAATTTTCACCGTTTACAGGCATTTCAAGAAATGCGTTGTAAAATCGAGTAAAATGCATTTCATTGAAAATCATCGATGGGGAAACGTTCTTCAAACACATATTTTGCTATTTGAGGTCACTGATACCAGGTCAGGTCACAGAGGTCAGGTCACTGGGGGGTCACAATATGAAAGTGTCGTGTGATACATGTTTTATGGTCCATTTTACATGACAAATGCGAATATGTGGGTCAGGCAGCCTTTGGGGCCAGCTTAGGTCACGTTTGGGTCAAGGTCAGGTCAAGGTCAGTTCAAGGTCAGGTCAAATTAGGTCAAATTTCAAAGTTGATATTTTTACATAAAATGGGTATCGAATCGATGCAGCTCGTCACGGAGAGTTCAATGGTGGTCTTTTTTTCCCGTACGTGGTCTAGAATCGCTAAAAAAAAATGAGTTAAAAATTTGACGTTATCATTTTTGAACAATTTTTCGCTATAACTTGGCCAAAAAACGAGATACTGATCTGAAATTTGGTATGTATATAGAAGAGCACAGGGACTATCACATATATTTCGTTTTTTCGGAATTCGGAGTTTTTTTGTTGTTTTTTGTTTTTCTTAAAAAAAATCATTTTTTTTTTAATTTTTTGGGGTCAAAAACCAAAATTTTGAAAATCCGAGATAGTAGTATTGTAGCACCGCTTTTTGTCTACTAGACCACATAAAGAACTTTGAAATTGCTTGATAACTGTAGATTTGGTGAGCGTTTCAAGATTGCATGTTTTTTGCTCTTTTTTGCTCGAACATGACCTCAGTTTGACCTCAATAACTCCTGACCTAAGGTGATCTAAGACTTGAAATTTGGTGTGAGGGTGTAAAATTGATGCCCGGGAAGGTACTAAAAATTTGGCGGCGCTGCGCGCCTTCGTTTTCTTGCTATTCAGGAAAAACCACAGGGGGGCAAAATGGCCCCCTGAACGGGGCGAGGATTAACCCGCGCCCCACTGGGGGGGGGGGGCTATTTATAGCCCCCCCCCCTCCCGTTTTTCTGCAATAACTTCCAAACCGCTTGTTTTATCGACGCTTAACTTTCAGTACCTTCGGCTGCATCAATTTGACACCATGTGTCAAAATTTAAACTACGTACCTACAATAGGTCGGCCGGAAATGACGTCAGAGTGACGTCATGTTCGACCGATTTTGACGCGAAACATTGAACCACGGCAATCGCTCCCAAGAGCTCAGTTTTTAAGCTAGATCCATTTTCTTTGCATGAGGGGACTCAGAATAGACTGCGCTATCAAACTGCTATCTCGGATTTTCAAAATTTTGAAAATTTCGAAAATTTTATGCAATAAAAATCAAAATCTATATTTTTCATTTTTTCATTTTTTTTTTGACTTTTCGAAACAACCGGAATATATGTGATAGAACGCATTACTATGATTAATTCTAGCAAGTTTTAGCTAAATATCTTCAAAAATGGCCAAGTTATACGCATTATTGCAAAAAATTAACAATTATTAATTTTTCAAATCAATTTTTCAGCACGAATTTGACATCTTACGTCAATATAAATAGCACCATCGTGTTCCTGAGCTTAAACTGCATCCAATAGACACCATGTTTGTTGAAAAATTTCAACTTCAAAATTTGACCTTTTTTTACCTGAAAGTGACC